ACATCCACGTCATAGACACCCACCCTGACCCCTACAACCTCCAATCCCGTCAAGAACAGGTTCTTCTTTTCAGACTGAGAGCACGCAAAGACACCTTCTCTACACAACGTTTAGGATCGACAACTCAGAACAGTGTTTATGCGAAACCGGCAGCCAAACAGCAAATCATAATATGTATTAATGATTTTAAAAATCTTGTAACTTTGACCTGAAAAAAAATCCCTAATCGGATGTCAAATCAAATATTATGAGAGAAACCGAACCACTTAACGCCACGATCCGTCTGTAAACTTTAATATCAGGTGGGGCCACGTTCGAAAGGACAATTTATTATCTGTATTTGGTGGGGACATAAAGTCAAACAAAAATTCTAAAAAAAGATAATAAGGACAAAAATTAAACAAAACACAAAGCAAAACAGACCCCACCCCCTATAAAACCCACAACAACAACAACAACAACAACAACAACAGCAAACAAACAAACGCTCAAACAAATTAAAAAAACAACAAAAAAAACAAAACACGCCAAAGGACACGTCGGATTGAGAGCGGTAAGTTTCTCCAAGAAAATTCTCCTGATGTCCGTTGTCTACTGCGAGTATCAAAGGAAGTTTCACTTGTTCCCTCTTGTAAAACACGTGGAAAGGGTCAACTTTCGACTTTCGTTTTTTTCCGTAGTATACGTCTGCAAAACGAAAATGAAATTTACGGTAAATTCTATTCTACAGCGAAAGAATTGAACCAGGTGTTCAGATGGTGGCTGGAAATGTGCTTGAGGGAGTTCCTATTTGAATCACTAAGTAGGTTTCTTGTAGACAAAGAAGACAAACGTTTTTCTTCATTTTCAGCATCCAGTTCTAATGTTTCGGGGGGATTTGCAGGTTTGGGTGTGTGTGTGTATGTGGGTGAGTGGGAGGGGTGTGGTGTATGTGTGTGTGTGTGTGTGTGTGTGTGTGTGTGTGTGTGTGGGTGAGTGGGAGAGGGTGGGGGGGGGGGGGGGTGCTAATTACTGGTTTTCGACCCATTCATTTAACCCAGTCTTGAGCACTACAACTTCTTAGTGTAAAAGAAAATGCTACACTTATATTTTTGGGTATGAAAAGGTCGACTTGTGAGTTATTATTGTAACTGATCAAACTTATCATAAGCCTGTCTTTAAAAATTGGCCGTGGTATCCCCCTAATTTAATAGTACCAACTGTTAGTTTCTTTTGATCCCCTCTGAGAGCAAAGCAGATATTTATACAAGAAACCAATTACAAGCAAAGGATAATTTCGAGTCCCGAGTAGAAAAAATACTTATGTAGAATTACATTGTGGACAAAAGAACCCCTCTCTACCACACCTATAATTGTCGGTAAGAACAGACATACTGCTACAGAGACTGTAAAGTACATAGAGCTTGGCGTCGGGCTGGAAGCTGTGCTATGCAAACTATGCTAGGCAACATATCATAATAATGTTATTTCAATAAAAAATAATTGGCCAGATTAATGTAGATAGACAACGTCACTATGAAGAAAACTGTAATTCGTTCTTCAAATATGGAAGGCTGAATAAAGCAAGTATAACCACTGATATAATATTTAAAAGCGACTAGTGGAGCTTCTCGGTCAACATTCTTTCCGTATCCCAGTTTCATTATTGAGTGAAAATGTTCACGGGCATGTACTTGTATTTAAATGGAGGGAAAGCCCCCACAACAACGAAGTAAAGCAAATCTGTGAACATTGTAAAATTGCAGGCCTTCCTGATCTTGGTTATTTTGAATTATGCGAATGTGAAAAACAGCTAAACGGGTAAATAGACATCATATGCATGAATTTACCACAGAAATGGACTCGTCCTATGTATCCCTACAGCATACGATGTCCACGTCTGGTACAATTAACCATGTTTTTTTCTCTCCGAATGCGAGTAAGATGGAATCTATGACGTCATCTTCCGTTAAGTTTGTACCTTTACTAAGTAGAGAAGAGCGTGAAGTCGTAGTAATACTGAACTTCGTGGTCATCTCTGGACTTCTCAGTTTGATGGGAATCGTAGCCAACGTCATCAATATAGTGGTTTTTGCAAAGCTAGGGTTCAAAGACTCCATGAATATTAGTCTTATGGGTGAGAATAGATATTATCTCTCTCTCGCTCTCCCCCTCTCTCTATCTGCTCTCTCACTCTGACACACATACACACACATGCGTGCCCACCTACGTTCACACCCAGAGATACTCATTATATACGAAGTACTTTCAAAAGTCTTGCTCTTGAAACAAGGAAAATGGACTCACCTATTCGTCTTCACACAAGTACATGATTTATGTCCTTCGGTTTTAATGTTGAGAAAATTTGCCGATGACTTTTTGATAGTAAGGTGCATCCTTTATGATTAACCATTCGTGATTAAAATATCTCGTTTGCTTTCCACCCACAACAGGATGCCAATTATTTGCTGTGTGATGTCGTCCCAGTCTCTTGACAGTGAGCTCAGCTTCACGTAATAAAGAACTAAAGCGAATTTCCAATAAGCATTCTACACAATACATTGCTGCATTGAAGGACAAACATTAGATTCCAATTTAAAGCTACCTCAACTCATTTATATAATATAACGGCATTTGCCTCCCTGTTTATCTGAAATCTACACACACAACAAAAGTGAACACAGAACGCAAGAGATCACCAACAGATCACCAAGTGTACACACACAATCTAAGCTAAGCCCGCCGCGAATGTCTCTGTTT